GTGGGGCCACGGGAAAAAGGGGTGGGCCTTTTTCCTCGGTGGAAGGGCCGTGGTGTCGGCCTGTGTCCAGACGTGGGCGGGCGATGCCGATGGGACGGGTGTGCCGGGAGAGAAGGGGCACCCCCGCATGTCCTTTTACCTCTGCTATGTCGCTGGGAGTCTGCCCCAGGCTGGAGAAAATCGCCTTGGAGTTCTTCAGGTAGAGCTTGGAGAACATGTCTGCCGTCTCAGGGTCGGTGGCGGAGTAGTCCGCGTTCTCCGCCTCCTCGTAGAGCTTCGTCTCAAACTCCGTCACCACCGGCCCGGGCTCTATCAGGCTGACGCTGGAAACACACACACGCAGAACAGCCCCTCAGCCTGCCATGCATGGGGTGACTGGAAGGCCAGAAGAACCCCCTCTCGCCTGACCTCCCCGCACTCCGGCAGGGACCAGCCCCGCCGTCGTGCCGCCGAGGCACCTCCTACCGCGTCAGATCAGCCCAGGTTAATGTCTCCTAGGGAACCACGCCCCGTGACATCATGCCACCGCCTGGGTGGTCCGGGGACACTGCCCGGTGACACTGTGCTCACGAGGGGGAGCGATACATCCCCGTGTGGGAAAGTCCCAGCCGTGCGTGCCGACGTTCACACAGAGAGGTTGCCTCGCCTGGCACTGAGGGGCTATGAGGAGGGCAGGGCCAGGTCCTGAGACATGTCCCGGCAGAACTAGCTGTGGCAAAGCCCTCGCCCTTTGCAACACAGACAGATCCCACGACCACTCACTGGGGCACGTGGCTGTTCTGGTATCTGTCTCACGGACTCTCGGGTCCTAGGGCAAGAACAGCCTCACCAGCTCCTATCAGCTGAGCACAAGTTCCTTCCCCTGCCTCAAGCTACCCCTCACCTCTGCACGAGGCACTAGTGGGGCGGCCTTTTCATGCCCAGGCCTCTTCCTCGTGCCTGCCCCTGGCGTGCGCTTCCTTGGGAACTCCCGGCCTGCGAGAGAGGCCAGAGGCAGGCTGCACTAGGATGAAGACTGGGCTATGGAAGGCAGAGGGGTGGGAACTTGCTTCTCCTCGCTAGAGGATGTGGTGAAGGCCAGGACTTTAACAGGGTTCAAAATAGAGCTAGATACATTCATGGAGGTTAGGTCCATTAATGGCCATTAGCCAGGCTGGGCGCCTCGAGCCTCTGTCAGAGGAATGGGCAACAGGGGAGGGATCACTTGGTGGTTCCCTGTTCTGTATATTCCCTCTGGGGCCTCTGGAATTGGACCAAGCCTGGGCAAAATATGGCCCGCAGGCCGAATACGACCCGCTAAGCCACTGGATCTGGCCCACGGAGGCAGCAGGGAGCCCCAGGCAGGCTCCCCAACATGCTGGAGGGGAGGGGGGAAGTTTTAGGAGCCGCCCCACCCCCAGCACATTGCCATTGGCCGGTTTCTGGCAGAAACCAGCCAATGCGAACTGCTTGTTGGAGTAACCGGCAGCCAGGAAGAACCAAGCCCCCTTTCCTCAGCTAAGTTATTCATGAAGCACATGGCCAGGCAGGCAGGCTGGCTGGGAAACAGTTTAAGCTCTGCAGGCAGGCAGGCTAGTATGGCAGCTGGCAGATAAGTCTCTTGGCCACAGCCTGCTTCTGGCACCCCAGCCCTTTCCTGCCCCAACTCTCTGCCCCCCCCCCACTCAACATAGTCTGTCCCCCTATTACACCCATGCCCTCTCCCAGATCTGGCACCCCAATCTCCTGCCCCAGATCACAATCCCTACACTAGGTCACATCCCAAACCCCTGCACTCCAGTCCCCTGCCCTAAGTCACAACCGCCTGTTTCACCCCAACTCCCTCCCAGACTCCAGTCTCCCTCCTGCACCCCAGTCCCTTACCCCAAGCTCCCTTCGGCACCCAACCTCCATCCCAGACCCCACCTCTGCATTCATATCATGGAAGAGTGCAGCCCTCGACTACTTTCCAAAATCTTGGAGTGGCCCCCCCATCAAAAATTATTGCCCACCCCTGCATTGGACAGTCAGAAGACAGGCCATTGGCTGAGATGGACTCTTGAAAACAGCTGGCTCTCGATTGGCATCTCCTTGGGGACTGGGCAGTGTTTTCATGGCCAAACAGCCGTTGCTCCCGAGGAAAACTCCCCCGAGCCGACTGACCGACGCAGGCGAGGAATCTCCGCCACCGATCAGAGGCCTCCGGTGAGAAAAGCACCCCCGGAAGTATGGGCGGCCGGGTTCCGCTGCGAATGCCCAGGGGCTGTTTTATGCCCTGAGCCTGGCACACGCAGCATTGCTGAAGGACTTGTCGCTTGACGATAAAATAATGAACAGGCCAAGGTGCATTCCCGGGGCTTGCTCCTGGCTGGGTGGCAGCTGCCGTGCCTGGCTTGTGGGTCGCCTGGCAGTGTCCTTGTTTCTTACCCAGGGGAGGGAGCAAAGGGGTGGCAGACCCAGGCTGACTCCGGGGTGGGAGTGCTTGTCAAAAATGTCCCACAAGAGAGAATCTCACACCTGTGCCTGGGAGAGCCGCTGCTTAGCAAATGAATGCTCCAGGGTGGATATCTGTCATCGCTGCTTAATCCCAGGGCAGTAGCCCCATGAAATATTCCGGGGTCTGTTTCTGGTTTATTAACAGGCATTGAGGCTAATCCCAGCTGTCTGTCCCGGTCGATCCCACGCCACCGGCACCCCAGGGATGGCCCCCCACCCCCGTGTGATATTTTTAGCTCCTCTCCCGAGAACAGAGGCCTGGCGGCACCCGACACCCCTCAAGGCAGATTCCCGCAACTCACAAGACGTTGAACTTCAGCGCCTGGACGACGAGGCTTTCGCAGAACCCTTCCACGGCAAACTTGGAGGCGGTGTAGATGTCATTGAACATGATGCCTGGAAGAAAGAGGCAGGGGGTAGAAGGCAGCCAGTTTAGCTCCTCTCCCGAGAACAGAGGCCTGGCGGCACCCGACACCCCTCAAGGCAGATTCCCGCAACTCACAAGACGTTGAACTTCAGCGCCTGGACGACGAGGCTTTCGCAGAACCCTTCCACGGCAAACTTGGAGGCGGTGTAGATGTCATTGAACATGATGCCTGGAAGAAAGAGGCAGGGGGTAGAAGGCAGCCACGAGAATGGAGCGGCACCAGTGACAACCTGACTGCCGCCGCCGCTGTGGGTCCGCCCGGCCGGGCACCGCAAGCCCTCGGCCGAGTCTCGCGCATGTTGGCTGATACATGGCGAGGAGCTTGTGGCAGGCAGGGGCTAGGGCAGGAATTTCCCACACTTAATGAATGTTGGTCCACGGTCACGGGCCGGTTCCACCCCTGGAAGGGGCAGGGCCTGGGGTCGAAGGGGCGGGGCTTGGGGCTAGCGTCTCCCCAGAGTGAATTAAAAACAGAGCAAGGGGCTCTCAGTGCCCGGCCCTGCCACTACCGCGTTGCCTGGGGTTACTGCGGCGATTTAAAGGGCTCGCAGCTCTGTCGCCTTCCAGGGTACTTCTGCAACTGGGAGCCATTTACATAGGATCCGTCTGCCTGAGCCACCACCTGGAAATTCAGTGGCCTGAGCAGCAAGTTATAAATAGAAAGTGGCCAGATGCATCCGTGGGCCGGAAAGTGTTAGGTGGGCTGGCTCCTGGGCTAGAGGGATGCGGTGTACAACGGGTAATCAGGGGGTCGCTAGTGGTTGGAAACAGTCCACGGTTGGCCCATTGGCCAGTCCCAGCTCTCTCCGCTCTCCGAGGCAGCGTGGGAACGGCTCCGTGCAACGCTGGGCCCTGGCGCCGAGTGCTGGGGCTCATGTGGTCTAGTGGGTGTAGCCCGGGCGTGGGACAAGGGCACGACAGAGCTCTGCAAGGCAGCCTTGTGAATGGGCCACGAGGCATCCCAGCTCCCCAGCCTGTGGACATGAGATAAGGCTGACCCCGACGCTGAGAAACCCTCCGATTAAATAGCTGACAATCCTCGGCCTGGCTCTCGCTCTGTCCCCGTTCGTGTGCGAGGTCCCTGCCCCTGTGGCCACTTGGAAGGTCGTGGCACTGACACCGTCTTGCTCCGAAACCACAGTTCCCCACCCACCCCAGCTGCTCTCCAGAGTCCACTGGCAGTAGAGGGCCTATGTCACACAGCAGGCAGAGACGAATCCCTCCACCTCCGGGCCATGGTGACACCAGCCCCCTAGCGATCTCGTCATGGTGTTACCCATCAAGACGTCAGGCGCAGTGGTGCAGGCGGTAGCTGGGGAGTGCGGTGGGTTGCGGGGGCAGGAACACCCCTCCCCACGCCTGGCCTACCAAGGCTTTTGTGTTTGCTCAAAGTTCCACAGGCCACAGAGCTACGGGCAAGACCACGACCCGACCACTTTTACGCAGCGGCCCCGTCTGCGATCAGCATGGTGGACGCCAGAGCAGTGCAGAGGGATGGGTCCCCTGGTGTTGTGGGGACCCATCTCCCCGGCTGAGAGAGCCCCAAGTCCCTGAGGTGGGAGGCAAAAGGGCCCCAGCTGGGAGACCAGAATTCTCTCCCCTCTTCGCCTCCCTCCGTCCCCAAGAAATACCTGACTTGGCACTGCCGGGCAGGAAGGATTTTTTGCGCCTGTAACTTTGTGTCGAAGTCCTGACTGGACTTGGTTCAAACATGCAGCAGTCCTGTGGCACCTGAGGCCTGGTCTGCACTAGGGCCTTAGCCCGAAAGAACCACCCCGAGGTCGAATTTGTACGTGATGCGTCCACACTACCAAGCCCGCTATTCCGGAATAAGGGGCCGTGGAATTCGAACGCTGTAGTTCTGCTTTTCCTGAGGCACCACACTATTCCCGAACCTGTAAGTCCGAAATAACATTAGTGTGCACGCCTCCGTGCCGCTAATTCGAATTAATTGGCCTCCAGGAGGCCTTCTGCAGTTCCCCAGCATGCTTCCTGGGGCTCTGAGTCTGATTTGGCGCGTCCACATTAACGGAGCCTGCCCCGGGCTACATTCGACGCTTCCTCGTAGTGAGGACACGGAACTCCGAATATGTAAAATCGGGTGCCCAGATGTCGAACTTAGTAAATTTGAAATAATCTCCTAGGCTATGTCTACACTGGCGGGTTGTTGCACCAGAGATATGTAAATGAGGCTAAGAGTGGAATATCGCCGAGCCTCATTTGCATACCTAATGAGCCACCATTTTTGCAGAAGAGGCTCTTGCGCCAAAAGGAGCTGTCTACACTGCCCCTTCTTGTGCAAGAAAAACCCTCTCGGCATAACGACATTGCGCAAGAGGGGTTTTCTTGTGCAAGAAGGGGTAGTGTAGATGCCGCAAGAGCCTCTTCTGCAAAAATGGCAGCTCATTAGGAATGCAAATGAGGCGCGGCGATATTCCACGCGTAGCCTCATTTGCATATCTCTGGCGCAAGATCGCACCAGTGTAGACATAGGCCTAGTGTAGGCATGGCCTGAGAGACTAACAAAAATATATAGTATCGTGAGCTTCCGTGGCTCACTCCAACTCATCTGATGAATTGGGCTTTGTCCACGAAAGCGCATGAGTCTATATATTTCGGTTGGTCTCCAAGGTGCCACGGGATCACGCGTGGTTTTTAAAGTGCCAGACTAACACGGAGGCCCCCGTGCGATTGGTGGACTTTGTTCAGCGGGTAACGTCCCAAGACGAGAGAGGCCACGGTCTGGTTCACACATGTGGACTGTGCGTAATTCTCCTCTGCAATTAGATTTGCATCAGGCTGATAAGGAAGGATTTCCTGATGCTTGTACTTCATAAGGGATGGTTATTTTTAGCCCCCAGACTGTACTGTAAACCCACAAAGTGCCTCACCACAGCTGAGAGGAAAAACCCAGCAACAAAAGAAGCCAGCCCAGCTGTCCGCGAGCTCACACATGTGGACTGTGCGTAATTCTCCTCTGCAATTAGATTTGCATCAGGCTGATAAGGAAGGATTTCCTGATGCTTGTACTTCATAAGGGATGGTTATTTTTAGCCCCCAGACTGTACTGTAAACCCACAAAGTGCCTCACCACAGCTGAGAGGAAAAACCCAGCAACAAAAGAAGCCAGCCCAGCTGTCCGCGAGCTCAGCAGCGT